TCGTCTCCCGCCTGGTTGGCCCGGCACCTCCGGAGGCGGTGGCCGTGGTGGCGGCCCGCGCAGCTTGGCGTCTACCAGCGGCTCCAGTGCTGTGACCTGCCAGTACCAGCTTCAGACCGGGCCTCTCCGCGGCACTCTGTGCCGCCGCCCGCACCCGACCGCCCACTGTTTCCGCCGCCTCGACGATCTTTTTCGTCGTCGCTTTGGCCCGGCCCCGGACCTCCCTGACTGGCACAGCCTGCTCCGCCAGGGCGTGCCGATCTTTGAGTTAGACATGGATCAGATAGGTGTTGCTTTGCATGCTTTGTATGCTGACGCTTCTAGTGTTGATGGATCTTACTACCATGTGTACTCTAGTTTAGGTGTTTCACCCTTGTGTAGCTTAGCTTCCCCTGCTGCGACAGGCGTAGGACTGCCTAGGTTGCCTAGTCTAGTCGCTGCACCGGCTCCGTCCGCGGCCTCCGCCACTGCGTCGCTGTCCTTCACTCTCGACTCTGGTGCTTCTGCCTGCTTCTTCCGCGACCGTTCCACGCTCACGCCGCTTGCTGCACCTGCTGTTGTCTCTCTCGCTGACCCCTCTGCGGGTCCGGTCGTCGCGCGCAGTTCTACGTCCCTTCCCTGTCCGGCAGTTCCCTCGGGCTCCCTTACTGGCCTCCACGTTCCCTCGTTCTCCAGGAACCTGGTTGGTGTCGGCTGTCTCCAGGACCTCGGCGTCACCACCACGTTCCCCGGGCACGAGCGGTTCGCTGTCTGTTCTGAGGCTGTCTCAGGTTCCCCCCTTGCGACGTTCCCCCGGGACCCGGTGTCCGGTCTGTTTACCCTACACACCGCTTCCCCCCCGGTTGGTGCGTCCTCCCAGGTCGCTGCAGCTTGCTCGTGTCGGTCCCTCGCTCACCCCTCCCTTCTCTGGCACCACCGCTTAGGTCACCCTGCTCTCCCGCGTCTGCGTCACATGTCCCAGCACGGTCTTGTCTTAGGTCTCCCTGCGTCGCTCCCTGCCCTTCCTCCCTCGACTGCGCCACCGTGCACGCCTTGCGTCGAGGGTCGGCTTCGCCGTGCTCCTCACTCCTCCTCGCTGCGTCCTGCTACTGCCCCCCTTCAGACCCTGCACTTGGACGTTTGGGGCCCTGCCCCCGTCCCCGGACCGCGCGGTGAGCGCTACTTCCTTGTGCTCGTCGACGACTACACGCGCTACACCACGGTGTTTCCCCTGGAGCGGAAGGCCGACGTGCCCGACGTTCTCCTCCCGTGGGTTGTGGCTGCGTGTCTCCACCGCGGTCTCCCCGTGTTGTGTCTCCACTCCGACCGTGGCGGCGAGTTCGCCTCTGGTCGGCTTGGACAGTTCTGTCGTGCGGAGGGCATCACCCAGTCGTACACCTTGCCGGACTCGCCACAGCAGAATGGGGTTGCTGAGCGCCGCATCGGCTTGGTCATGGAGGTCGCCCGTACCTCCATGATCCATGCCGATGCCCCCCATTTTTTGTGGCCGTTCGCTGTTCGCTACGCGGCTCACCAGCTTAACCTGTGGCCACGCTCCCAGCGGCCGCAGGTTTCGCCGACCCTCCTTTGGACCGGGTCCCCCGGTGACGCGTCTGCGTTCCACGTCTGGGGCTGCCTTGCTCACGTTCGTGCCTCTGGCACGGACAAGCTCACTGCCCGCACTGTCCCCTGTGTCTTCCTCGGTTTCCCCCTGGACTCGTCTGACTGGCTTTTCTACCACCCGCCGTCTCACCGCTTCCTCCACTCTCGTGACGTCACCTTTGACGAGTCCGTCTCCTTCTACCGCCGCTTCCCTCACCGAGGTCTCCCAGTTGCCCCCCCCCCTTTTCCTTGCTCCCTCTCCCCCGGTAGCCCCTGCCCCTCTCCCGCCTCGTCCTGCCCCGTCTGGTGTCTCCCACGTCACTCCCCTCCCGTCGGTTGTCCCCGTTGAGGAGTCTGCTGACTCTGGTGGTACCCCCGGTCCGTCCTTGCCGCGTCCCCCTTCCCCAGTGCCTCCGCCCCCACTGTCGCAGTCGCCGACCCCGCTGCCGCCGCCGTCGCCGTCGCCGCCGCAGCCGTCGCCGCTGTCGCCGCCACTGCCGCCGCTGCTCTCGGCCCCTGGGGGTGCTGGTGTGGAGGAGGGTGTTCGTCCTGCGGCTTCTGGGGGTGCCGCTGGTGTTGGAGGGGGTTCTCGCTCTTGGGGTGTTGGTTCTGGGGGTGCTGCTGTTGAGTGTTCTGCCGACGGTCGTTCTGCCTCTGCTGGTCCGAGAGTTCCGGCCCAGCCGTCGTCGCCGCCACAGCAGCCGTCGCCGCCGGTTTCCGCTCTCCGCCTGCTCGGCCTTCCCTCCCCGGACCGCGCGCCGGTGTCTCCCCCACCGCCTCCTGACCTCCCTGTCTACGGTCCTGTGTTCCCGCCGCCAGACTCGTCTCCGGCCCGTCTTCCTCCTCGTTCCCCTCCTGTGTCTCCTCCGCTGTCCCCTGACCCTACCCCTCCGTCTCACGTTTGGGCTCGCCGTCCCTCCCGTGCCCGTCCCGTCTCTCCTGTCCTGCCCACCCACCCTATGTTGCTCCGTTCCCACTCGTCTCGTCCTCCCCTCCTCCCGTCCCCTCCTCCCTCGTCCCTTGCTGTTGCACCTCCTCCGTTCTCTGACTACCTCCGTGCTGCTCGTCCCCTTGTCCCTCGGGTCCTTGCCTCTCTTGTTACCGACCCTGCTGTTCCTGTCTCGCGCCTTGACGCGCTTGTCGCTGCTGTCGCTGACTTCGCTTCTACCCGCCGCCTTGACTACGCTACCGCTCTGGTCTCTGACCCTGCCCGTCCTCTGTCCGTCGGGGGTGCTCCTGCCCTTGGCAGTGACGTCCTAGAGGACAGGCAGTACGAGCTGGCTTTCCTTTCCGAGGCTGCTCCCCATCTCTGCTCCATGTTGTTAGTCCCTGAGGGTGACCCAGACGCCTTCGACATCCCGACCCCTCGCACCTACGCTGAGGCCACCTCGGGACCTTGGGCCTCTCAGTGGATAGCTGCCATGGAGCAGGAGATGGCATCTTGGAGATCCACCGGCACTTACGTCGACGCAGTTCCCCCGCCTGGGGTGAACGTAGTCGATGGTCGGTGGCTCTTCAAGGTGAAGCGCCCCCCTGGAGAGCCGCCTGTCTTCAAGGCGCGCTACGTGGCCAGAGGTTTCAGTCAGCGCGAGGGGGTTGACTTCTTCCAGACCTTCGCCCCGACCCCGAAGATGACCACTCTTCGGGCGCTGCTACACGTAGCAGCACAGCGTGACTACGAGCTTCACTCTCTCGACTTCTCTACTGCCTTTCTTCAGGGCAGCCTACACGAGCAGGTCTACCTGCGCCGACCACAGGGCTTCACTGGTACCTTCCCTCCTGGGACCCAGTGGCTTCTCAGGCGCCCGGTCTACGGCCTGCGTCAGGCTCCCCGCGAGTGGCACGACACGCTACGTGCCACGTTAGCAGACCTGCAGTTCTTTCCGTCCTCTGCTGACCCTTCACTGTTTGTGCGTTCCGGCCAGACTCCGTTCTACATCCTTGTCTACGTAGACGACCTGGTCTTCGCTACTCCTGACAGGGACGCACTGGCCTCTGTGAAGGCTGAGCTGCTGAAGAGACACACCTGCACTGACCTTGGAGAGCTGCGTCGCTATCTTGGCCTGCAGATCTCTAGGGACAGAGCAGCACGCACCATCACTCTGACCCAGTCACACTTGGTGCGTCAGGTCCTTCAGAGGTTCGGTCTTCAGTTCTCCTCCGCACAGCCCACACCTCTACCCGTAGACCATGGGCTCTCTGCTCCCGTTCCTGAGGAGCCAGTAGAGCCCAGTGGCCCCTACGCAGAGCTGGTGGGTTGCCTCATGTACCTGATGACTTGCACTCGCCCAGATCTCGCATACCCTCTCAGCATCCTGGCTCGCTTTGTGGCTACAGGCAGACACCGACCTCAGCACTGGTCTGCCGCTAAGAGGGTTTTGCGTTATCTTGCTAGTACATCAGGCATGGGGTTAGTGCTAGGAGGACGCAGGCCAGTGGTCCTTACTGGGCACACAGACGCTTCTTGGGCAGACGACGCTGAGACGCTCAGGTCGTCGCAGGGCTACTGTTTCAGCCTTGGTTCGGGTGCTATCTCTTGGAGATCCACTCGCTCGTCGTCTGTGGCTCAGTCTAGCTGTGAGGCTGAGATCTACGCTGGTGCCATGGCGGCACAGGAGCTCCGCTGGCTGACCTTCTTGCTCACAGACTTAGGTGAGCGGCCTAGCTCTGCCCCGGTCCTGTACGCTGACAACAGGGCCATGATACTCCTGTGTCAGGAGCCTCGGCTTGAGGGCAGAGCGAAGCATATCCAGCTGCGGTACTTCCTCCTGCGCGAGCTACAGCAGCGCCGCCAGGCCCGCGTAGTTCACTTGGCCTCAGGTGCCAACACAGCTGATATCTTTACTAAGGCGCTTGCGCCTAAAGATCATCAGCGGCACTGTGTACAGCTTGGTCTTGTTCCTATAGCTGCTCCCCTGTTAGGATCCTGATTGTGTACTCTCTATTATATATGCTTGTCAGACTGGCCTTGTGGCCTTACCTCCAGTGGCTGGACTAGTAGTGCCACCCTGGCTTGCTTCAGTTTTGGTTGTATTCTTGCTGATTGGTCTCCAGACCCCTGCCTCAGTGGTTGGACTAGTAGTGCCACCCTGAGCTGTTTGCTTCTTGTTTAGTTTCACCCCTTGTCTAGCCTAGGGGGTGTGTCAACTTATACATATTATCTATGTAGAAGTTATAGGCTAGACTGAGGTATGCTTCTAGTGAGTACAACCAACTAGTATTTGTTCTAGGTTTCCACCTCTAGTAATCATTCGTTTCTACGTTATCAGGCGGGGCGCTTAGATAGCTAAACCTCTCGTCCTTTTCATAGCTACCTTCCAAGCTAAACAGTCGTGTTACCTTTACCAACAAGTGAGAAGGCATGAAAATAGTATTGTATTGTCTATTCTATCCTATCCCATGGAAGCAAAAAATATCCAAGAGGCTTAAACAGACTTGTCAACTTCTCAGAACCTCACCAGTCAGTGCACATGGCCTTGAATCAGCCATCAAAGCAACACCGCAAAAGGGCATACAGCATAAAAGAGAGCAGAAGGGTAAGTTCACCCCCACAGGTGGTCACACTCCCCAACTCTATTCCATTCCCCACTACTCTTCCCAAGGCTTGCCCCCTGGAAAAACAAAAACATCCAGGGAGCAGCTGAAATATCTTAGCATATCCTGCACAATGGAGGATCCCTCTCCCTTGTTCAGTATTTTTTTACCCCATTTTTCTTCCCATATTTTTTTCCCCAGTTATCATACTACCTATACTAAGCTTCAGCGGTCACTACAGCAACAGAGCTGTTGCCAAGCGTCATGGAGGGACCCGATGCTTGCCCCGATGACGACCCCGCTGACACATGCATGCCTGCACGATCTCTCCCTCCCGAAGCATTGGTTTGTGACGACGATGCAGATGCTGCTGCTGCTGCTGCTGCTACACCTACTCTGCTCTTCCCTGCCTCAACAGCAATACCAGAGGAGGCGTCCTTCCCACCTGCTGCTCCCTTCCCCTCCTGCTCTGTGCTACGGCCGCCAGCAGATGAAGGGGCAGTGGAAACAAGAGCACTGGTGGTTGTGGTCGCAGGCGAAGCAGTGGCAACTGGCACAGAGCCTTGTGAGACGACTCTGATGGGAGCATCACGCTGCAGAAAAGAGGCCGGGGGGGAGGGGGGGGGGCGAGGGGAGGGAACAAACAGCAGACAGCAGGGAAGGTAAAGAAAAATCAGACATGGGCAGTTTTCACACACAGGAAGGATTCACCCAGAAAAATGTGGGTCAGGGTACATGGCATTAATTGAGTACGCACCACAGACGGCTCGGAACGTTGTGGGCGGAACTGGTACCGCTGGTGCTGACCCCACGCCGACCCTCCCTGCCCATGCCCCTGCTTTCCCTGACCTCCAGGCTGCCCCTGCTGCTGCTGCGCCCCCAGCTGCTGATGATTCCCCTGCACATTCTGCCCATTCTGCCCCAGTGGCCCCCCCTGCGGTCCCCCCTGTGGGGCCCCCTGCGCCCCCCCCTGTCCCTGCTGCTGCTGGCGCGCGACCCTGCGCTCGTGCATGACACGCTGGCGCGTGTCGTAGAAGGTGAAGTCGTCCAGGATGGACGTGCGCGTGGCGTAGTTGCGGAAGATCGCCAGCATCTCCTGGCCCTGCGCCTGGGGCACCTGCAGCGGATGGGAACAGAATGCGCGGTTAGCAGTGAACGCGGTGCAAGTGATTAGGCACGGGGTTCTGCGTCCAGGGAAATGGGGAAGTAGGGGGGGGTCGGGGCGGGGGGGCGAGGGGGGGGGGGAGGGGGGTGGGGGACCGTGAGGTGGGGAGTTCTGGAAGGCGCGGACCAAGAAAACATAATTAACGAATAACAAGTCTATACTGGCATACCTCTTGCGTGTCGCGCGAGTTGGTGACGGGCTTATTATCATTGGCGGGCACGGCAATGTGCCTCAGCAGCGCGTTCGGCACGTCCTTGATGATGTGCCAGCGCACGTTGAACCGCCCGTTCCACCTCTCCTCCTCCTGCCAGAACCCCACGCTGCGGTGAAAATCCACCGGACTGACCATCTCCGCCACTCCGCAAAACTGCCCGCTGGCGTTCACTGAGAAAAACAGAAACAGCGGGCAGGCCACGCCGCGGGAGCTCGACAACGCGGACGCCTCCTGGAACGCCGCGTGCAGGCGCTTGTTGCCCCCGGGCGTGGAAGTCCACACGTTGTACTTAATACTCTTGTGCACGTCGTCTTCGCTGAACGATTTAATCACGAAAAATTTCGCCAGCGCATATGTAACCGGCATGTCCGGCCGGTTCACCTGCAGGCAGCACCCCGACAGGCTGTCGATCGTTCCGTTCGTTCCGTCCTTTCCACCCGCCCCCGCCGCGCGATCGCCCAGAGGAGCTCCGGGCGCAAATCCGTTTGGCGGCATCTGCAGCTGCGCCTGGTTCCCCGCGCCTTCTGAAACGTTGCCGCTGGCGGTGCTGCTTCCCCCATCGCTACTGGGGCTGGTTGCACGCTTGCCCTCGCCCTCCCCCACCTTACCGTTGCGCCGGCGGGACGTGCGCGGACCGCGGAACTGTTCCGCGGCTGCGTTCAGCGGCGCGGTGCCGTTCGAACCCGCGTGCCCGGAGTTCCTGCCGCCACCCGGCTGACCGCCGTCGGCAGATGCGGGATCGAGTTTAAGGCAGTTCATCCCGCCGTCGATTCCGCCGCAACTCCCCTCATCGCTGGCCTCCGCCCGCCCCGCTGCGCCGGGCTGCCCGCCGGGAGCGCCCGCGGGGGGGGCGGCGGAAGGGCCGTGAGGGGGAAGCACGGCAGGGGGGCCGGCGGGGGGAGTGAGGAGGAGCGGCGAGTGCGGCGGGTGATGCTGATGCTGGTGCTGGAAATCCGGCATGGCTTGGTACGGAAGAAAGTAGCCGGGCGGGGGAACTTGTCCATACTGCATGTCGACCTGTGGTGGAACCAGATTAAATCGGGGCAAACGTGTTTCGACAGGGGGGGGGGAGGAAGAGGAACATCAACGAGAGGGTTAAGCGCGATGGTCGCGATCTACAACAGGTGGTGAAACACCAATCAAGTCGCAAAAACCTTACGGTAAAAAAAAAAGAGGAACAGAAACTCTGAAGCTGGTAAAAAATAAATATAAATCTCTCACCTGCCCAGGCATGGGAACAAATCCGAGCGGAGGACCGTCGGATCTGGAGTCACCGAAAGCGCCTGGATGATAATAATGAAGGTAATGGCCATGGTGGTGTGGGCGGGAGGGATCCATGGGGGGGTTATGCATGTCGAGAAAACCCACGGCTTGCGCCCTCTCTGCATCCCACACGCACATCACAACACAACACAGTTCCGGGGAAGCAAGCAAGCACGAACGTAAATACGACGGCGAGTCAACTCGGAGCTTTTCGCCCTGCTCAACATTTGCGAGTGCGTAACTTTCGACTTTCACCCAAGGAAACAAAAACAAGGGGTCTCAAATCAGGGAAAAGATAACGAAAGATTCAGATTGGTTGGGAGTGGGAGAGCTCACCGGCGGGGGGCGGGAGGACCGGCGGGGGGTAGATGGGCGGCTGGATGGGGAAGGCATGCGGCGCGTAGAACTGGCCGTTGAACGGAAGAGGAGGCGACCCAGCATACGGTACGAAGGCCTGCACCGTTACGAGTGGAAAAGAACGATGAATAACCACACCGACAACACCGGCAACACCGAAGGAACCGTACGAGGAAAGCCCGTTGATGACGCGGCGACAGCGTAAAACGGTCGGCAAAAGGCATGAGGCAACGCGCGCCGCATCGGAAATCCTAAACCCCGAAACCACGACCCAGCTCGACCGATTCGCCACATAGCTGTAACCCCCAGATCCGACAAGATCCAGCAGATCGGAAAGATACGGAAATTTCGCACCTCTCCTTGGCCGTCGACGGGAATGGGCAGCACGGGAGGCGCAGCGGGGGAACCATCAGGGTTTACTCCGCATGCCCCGACCGCGCGCATGTACTCCTCCCACTGTTCCGGGGGCACGCTACCGGGCTCACCCATAAACCCTGCGCGCATCCACGTCACAATTACCGATTAATTAAGCTTACCCAGTACTGTGAAGAGAGGGGGAAATAGAGCGGGAAAACGAATTACGACATTCGGATAGGGGTGACGGTCGTACCTCCTGAGTAGTCGTAGTAGTACTGGGGGAGGAAGCCGTTGCCGGGGTATGGGTCGAACACCATTTCCGGAACGCCGTGCTCAGGGTTTGACGGCAGATTTTGCGGCTGGTCGAAGGGGACCAGCGGGCGGATCTGCTCTGACTTGAACTCGGGAGCCGTCGGCGACAGCTTCCCTTGCGTCAGCGCGGGGCGGGCCGGCGGCGCCTCGGGAGTTGAGGGCTTGGGCGGTGTGGTGGATTCTCTGGTAGCGGTGCCGGTCTGATCCGCCGAGAGAACAAAGACGAGAAAAAAACTTTTAGAAAACAAAAACAAAAACAATAAAAGAGCCGGCTGTGGAGTATAATTAGAGAAGCCGGGTGGGGTAGCGGTAATTTAGAGAGGTGGCGTGAAGATCCGAAGTTTTATATTGATCGCGGTGCAGATCTGTGAGGAAATTACGGTAGCGTTGCAGTAAGGAATATGTAAGTTACCTCATTTGATTTCGCTGGCCTTTGATCCGCTTTGGACTTTCCACTTCGACTGGCTTTGTTGTTGTCTGCTTCCAGAAAAAGAGAAGAAAAAAACGAAAGCTGAGAAGAGAGAAAACAGAACACAACAGAATCTGTGAACGCCAAACAAAGCCATAAAATATTCCGTGAAGGAAGGCCTTAAGACCGCAGATCCAACTTACTTGGTTTCTTCTGAGGAGTCAGCAAAATTCCCGCCATGTCGCCACAGGGTCAATCTGGCAGGGGGCGACAAAGCTAAGAATGCAGCTCGGTCGAAATTCCTTGACTAAAGGCGACGCCTGAGGATAGTTCGCCGCGGAAAGTTGTTACGCAACCTCAGATCTGGAAGACAGACGGTGCTCTGCTGTTTGTGCTGAGGTTTTGAGTTGTGATCGTCGGGAGATGGGAGAGGAGCGGGGGAGGAACGAGGAGAGACGGGCAACGAGATCGGAACGAGTCGGGTAAACGAGGAAAGGAGAAATATGGCGTTGATATGCGTTTCCAGGGACACGCGCCGCCGTTCTTATACACTGTCCGCCGTTCAACCCGCAAAGCAAACCCTCTCAATAACACACCAACTCAACACCAGCGCCCCCCAACCAACCCATCCTTCGTTCCCCCATCTCCCTCTTTCCCTCTCCACCTGCCACGGTCAAATCTCCCTCCCGTGATTCCCCCCCTTCCCCACTCCGCCGTTCCGCTCAGTCTTCCCCCAATCTTCCCGCGTTGAAGTGGATCTGAATTGGTTTGTGCGCTCACCCAAAAGCATTCTGGAAGCCTCTCCTTTGGAGAAACAACCTGAACAGTTCCCTTCCAGGTGCAAATTCCTTTCGAGGCTGCCCAATATCCACAAGGTTTATCCCCATATCTGTTACCTAGAGTCCGAACAAAGCCCACCAGAAATTGTTGTTGTGCGGAGCCAACTTCCTACTCTCCCCCTCTCCGCTCCACACGGGACAGTGACCTTCCCAACCGCAGCGTGTTCGCCGAAGCATCACCGTCGACCACGTCGTTCGCGCGCGGCGAGAGGCTGAGAAACGCCCCCAAGACAATTTGCGAACGGCTGGGTTTCGGGTTTATCAAATTTGAGCAGCCCGTGGTGCCTAGCTGTCAGAAGCGAAATGGATCAGAGAAGGTGAACGGGCATTGCGAAGGAAATAGATCCAGATCTGTTGTCCAGCGAAACGAAGGATTTCTTTTGGATGGAACACGACGATTTGAAAGTTTGAAAACCAGGATTTACAGTCCGATTAGGAAACTTGGCAAGTTCCCCTTGATATGGTTGAAAGATGGCTATATACACAGCACATCATTCCTTCCCATCCCGTGCCCATCATGTATGAAATGAAATTTTGAATCAGTTGCTTGAGATGAACTTGGGAGCATCAATTCTCAGGCATTTTCCGAAACCAAGAACAGATACCTAAGGCATGTGGAAAGTACATTCGGGTGTGGAGGGAACACCCTGCGTTATAAAAATAATTTTTACCCACTTCCCGCCAAGATCCCGATTTTTCTGTGGGTGAGTTGGATGGTTGATGTGCCCAGCTGTGTGTCGACATTGGATACTCGCCAACAGGGCAGGAGTAACAGGCTGGATTTGATACACCGCGATGTCACCTCCAATAATAATTAACACTGTTTATTACAATCAGGCTAAAATTAAAGGCGCACATGCATCAATGCTAGGTGGGGTAAAACCAGTTATGTGCTGACGCCTTGCTTGAACATCCTTTTTGACAAAATCCTCCATAGTTTTTTCTGCAATGCACAATGGAAAAAGATGGGGTGAGGGTGAGCGACAATTGCAAGGACGCTTTCCCACTCAAAAGAGATGAAAAGTGCTGCATACATCTAATCTAATGTCCTCACCTCTGCTGCTGCAGCTCCCTCCACAGCATCTGCGCCTTTCTCACACGACATCCCCTGCTCACTTGCATCGCCCTCTATTCCTACACCATCATTTCCGCCTGCATCAGCAGTGCCACCTCCTATCGCCCCCCCTGCCATCGCTTCGCCAAATGCAGGGAGAATGATCCCAGCAGGCTTGCCGCTGCGCTTCTGCTCCCTGGCTTGGTTGAACTTGAACGAGTAGTCCACAGCTCCAGTGGCTCCAGCAGCAAAACCAACACCATCAGCAAAACCAACACCGCCAGCACCAGCACCAGCGGCACCAGCAGCAGTAGACCCATCAGAGTCCATTGAAGCACGAGCAGGAGGGAGCGGGGAGAATGGTGAGAAGGGAGTGCCACCGAGGTTGGAGCCTACTGCTCCTTTCCTGCCGATGTTGCTCGTGCTGCTGCGGCTCCGGCTCATGGCTGTCCTGGCAGCAGCACTACTGGAAGCGGCACTGGTGGTGCGCGGGCTGTGCCTGCTCGAACTTCGCACAATGCTCCTCCGCCTGTCAACACGGCTGGGAAAGGCAGCGCCAGCAGACGGGGCGGCACCGGCACCAAGGCGACTACCACCACCATTACCAGTACCACCACCAGCACCAGCAGCACCAGCAGAAGCAGCAGCAGTAAGAGCAGCAGCGCCCGCACCACCACCGGACCCTTCCATGTCGCTGCTGCAGCTGCTCCTGCTGCGGCTGGCGCTGCTGCCGCTGCCAGCAGCACCCATGTTGGACTGCCTCTCCCCCCTGGCTTTCGCCTGCTCCCAGGGTGCTGCTGCTGCTGCTCCCTCGCCCCTTCTGCTGGCCCTCGCAGGGCTGAAGACAGCAGGAGGCGTGGCGGGGGTGCTGCGCGTGCCGGATAGCACTCGCTGCCGCCGACGGGGCAGCTGCAGCAGAGGGGGGGGGGGGGAAAGAGAGGAGAAGAGGAAAGGGAGAGAGGTGGATGTGTGGGGAGACTACAAGGATAGGCTGATGGGACGAGACCAGGCAGGAAATGAAGGGGAAAGATCGGAATGTGCCCACCATGGGGCAGCGAAAGCGGAACCTTGCAGTTCGCTGGCTTACCGGCGACGGGGTGAGCGGCGACAGCATCTCCTCATCCTTGCTGCCGCTAACTCCACCGCGCCTCCCTCCACTCCTCCCTCCACTCCTCCCACCACTCCTCCCGCCGCTCCTTTCCATACCATCAACAACCGAACCTTCCCCTCCTCCGTCCCCCTCCCCATCCTCCTCCTCGTCCTCGTCGTCCTCTTCTCCTTCCTCCCCCTCCTCGCACCCCTTCATCCCCTCTGTCTCCACCACCAGCCTCCCATATATCCACCCCTGACCCCTCCCCTCTGCCGCTCTCCTCCTCTCCTTCTGCTCCTCCCCCCACGGATCCTCCTCCCGCTTCCCCACTCCAAACCCCCTCCCCCCTGCTCCTCCGCCCAAACCTCCCCCTGCTCCCCCGCCCAGCCCCCCCCCTGCTCCGCCAGCGCCCTCCCCCAGGCTGAAGTTGCCAGCGAAGCGGGGGAGGATGGGGGCGTTGCGCCCACTGCGCTTGTCCTCCCTGGCCTTGGTGAAAATGGCGGAATAGTCCTCCTCCGCATCCCCCAGGGGCAGCTGAAACTCCTGCTGCTGCTGCTGCTGGTCCGCGCCCTCCTGGGATTCTTTCTGCTTTTGCTGCGCATGCCCACCCGCACCGGCAACAGAAACAGCACCAGGGCTCTTCCCCTGCGCTGCTCCCCTCTTCTGCGTGGAGCCCCCCCTCCCCCCAGCAGCCCCGCAAACCCCTTCCCCTTTTCTCCCCCCGCTTGACCTCCCCGCGTTTTCCCCCCTCCCAAAATCCATCCACCTTTTCCCCCTCCTCCTCCGCGTTTCGTTTCCCCCTCGCGATTTCCCGCTTCTCCGTCATTCCCGCCGTTTCCGCCTCCTCCCCCGCCTCCTCCTTCCTTCCCCAGCGCACTCGCCTCCTTGGGCGACTCGCGACGCCCGAGTTTCCCGCCGCGAGACCCGCTGCTGGACTTGGAACACTCAGTGCCGAAGAGATCCGAGATGGAAATTTCCGAGCCGAATTCCGACCCATAGTGCGACTCGGCACAGTGCGATTCGGCATAGTGCGACCCGTACTCGCTGGCGCGATCGTCGCGATCGTCGCGACTATCGCCCTCCGCGTCATCGTCGTCGTCGTCGTCCGACGACGACCCGTACGGATCGTCCGCGCCCTCCGCGATCGACGGAATCTCGCTCAGCGGCGGCGACGGCAGGTCACGACTAGCCTTGCGCGAGCTGCGGGGATTGCGGCGGTTGCCTTCAGAAAGGGCAGCAGACGCGGCGGCGGAAGAGGCGGCAGCGACGGCGGAAGCCGCAGCGACAGCCAGCGCGGAGCTGCTTCGGCTCGCGCGTCCGCGCGACGATCCCCACACGGCACCGCCGCCGCCGCCGCCGCCGTCGGGTGCGCCGCGAGGACTAGAAAGTCCTTCTTCCTCCTCCGCGAAGCACGGCGCGTCTGACGCTGATGAGGAGTACCTAGAGTCGACTGACGAACCGCGATCGTGTCCCCCCGCTATACGCTGCTTCGCTATAAAGTTGCCAATAGCGTCGGAAGCAGAGGAGGAGTAGGAGGCGGCGGAGGCGCGTCCTAGAGGGCTCAGCAGAAGTTCGTCGTTATTCGCTCCGCCTGCCCCCCCCGCTCCGACTGCGCCGCCTGCGCCGCCTGCACCGCCCGCTCCGCCTGCCCCCCCCGCTCCGACTGCGCCGCCTGCGCCGCCTGCACCGCCTGCACCGCCTGCGCCGCCTGCGCTGCCGTTACTGGTGTGTCCAAGACGACTCAGCGCAGTCGTCCCGCTCACTCCCGCTCTTCCGCTTCCGCCTCCGCCCATTCCCCCGTATTTCCCGGGGCTCCCTTCCCGTTCCGCCTGTCCGTTTCCGCCCTTTGCAACTCCCGCCGCCGTGGCGCCCCCATAGGCGCCGCCGCGCGGCCTGACGCCCACTCCGCCACCGCTGCCAGTGCGCGCAAACATCCGCGCGCGGGGGCTCCCCGGAAGGCTTCCCCCGCTCCCGCCGCTTTCTCCGCCGCTGTTGTTCATGATGGTGCGCCGCGCGTTGACGGCGGCGGCAGAGAGCAGTCCGCGCTGGCGGGGGCCGCCGCCGGCGGTGGGGCTGGCGGCGCTGCTCGGAGTGGCGCAAGGGGAAGGGCATGCTGAGAGATTCACACCCCCGCCCGCGCCTGCGCCGGCGGAAGCGGTAGCGGCGGAAAGTTCGGCGCATAATTCGGGAGCGAGGCGATATGAAGGCAAGGCGGAGCCGCCAGAAGCGGAGGAGGCGGCGGAGGAGCAGGAGGAGGAAGAGAATCCCGAGGTGGACGGATCGCGCGTGTGCAGGAACGTCGACGCGGGGGATTCGGGCGGGCCCCCCTGCCCCCCGTCGCCCCCTTGGCCCCCGTCGCCCCCTTGCCCCCCGTGGAGGCTTGTAAGCTTTGCATTCCCGGGGTGGTGCGGAGACGGTGGGGAGAGAGGGCCGCAAGCAGCGGAGCCGGCGCCCTTTGCGACGTGTAACGCGGAGGGCAGGCGGGAGCTGGGGGGCGCGTGGAGCCCCACGGAGCCGAGAGCACCTCCGCCTCCGGTTCCGCCTCCGAATCCGCCTCCGCCTCCGCCTCCGCCTCCGCCTCCGCCTCCGCCTCCGAATCCGCCTCCGAATCCACCTCCGCCTCCGCCATATGCCTGAGTGACGGCGTGCAGGGCCTTGCGGGAGAACGAGGTGACCCGCGGGGAGGGGCGTGAGTCGCTGTGCGCGGCTGGTTCCGGCATGGCTGCCACCGGGTGGGTTAGGAGACTAGTAATAGCCTCTTAGGGAGCGCGGCACGAGATGTTGACAGTGCGGGGAGCAGCTTCAGGGAGTGGCGGTGGATCCCAGGTCACCGCGAGACAGCTTCCGTCGCCGTTTGTCGCCGTGTGTCGCCGAGTGTCGCCAAGTGTCGCCGTGCACACAGGAGGATTATGACAGCGAGAAAGGGAGAACGAGCGGAGACGAGCAGAGTGGGAAGTTAATAAAGACAGTGAGCCGTGCTACTACTATCGTAGTAACGAGTCGCCAGTGCGAGCCTATACTAGCACCCGTTTCATTCCCGCAGCAGCGCAACGTCTTGCTATCATGCGCTGCTACGAGCGGCGACGAAATGCTACGAGCCGTTATACCTCTAGCCTCGCTCCGTCCGTCATCGCCGTTCCTTTCGTCGAGCTATTCCGCTTCTTCCGCGGAGTCGATTGAGGGAGAAATGAGGAGCGGCGAAGTGGAATAGCTCCATCGAGAGTACTGTGGGACATGAATAACTCGTCGATAGTACTCTCGACGACGAGTACGAGTCCCGCTCTCGTCCCGTCCCCAAGCAACGGCGACCCTGGCGCACGGCATGGCGACTGACGTGAGCAGTGCGGGGTCCAGGCGGGCGGGCGTCCGCAAGACGAGTCAAAGCGCCTAATTGCGGCTGGGCCTACGGAGGAGAATGGGAGGTTGCCGCGCTGTGTGCGCGTCCCCGTCCTCCGCCGCTTGATCCGCCACACGAGGGGGAAGGGGGGATGCGATGGCGGTTTCTCCAGCGCAGCAGGCGACGACCCAACTCGACTCGACGACCAACGGAATCCGTTAGCGGTGGGCACGCGATGATCGACTGGCTCGTGACCCGGGAACCCGCTAGACCGAAACCTAAAACGTAGCCCGGTAGTCGGGGGGAGGAGGTGTGGGTCTCTGGCTGGGGTAGATGCAGCACGGGCAGCACATGCAGCACATGCAGCACATGCAGCGAGGTTTGTGCGCAGGTTGACGACTACTCCGAGTCGCACGACGCCGAATCGGGGCCCCAGGCTCGACGACGATGCGGTTGCATCAGCCAACGGGCGTCGCCGTTGTCGTCGTCGGCGTCGGCGTCGCACCATTGCCGCCATCGACGCCGCACCGCGCTTGTCTCAAGAGTGGTGTGATGCCTCGACTTCCTCTCCACGAAACTCGGACGGGGATCGTTGTTGTGTCTAGCTTCGTCGTAGGGTCCGTTAGCTAACAGCGAGAAGCTGGAGCTGTGGCAGTACAGTACGGTACGGATGTTTCTCTTGATGACTGAAATCCGAGTCAACCCCCCTGATTTCAGAAACCTCTGACGGCCAGTGACCTCCCCTCCACTCTACGATACCGTTTAGCCGTCAGTTTTACCGTGCAGCATCCTTGAACTGTACTGAAGGCGCGGAAAAAAGGCAGTGAGGCGGGTTCCACGGCAAGATCAACTTCGTCGCCGTCGCGCCATGGATGTGCTATGCTTCTTTCAACAACGGCGTGGCGAAACTGTGCAGTGTGCTGCTGACGGTTGGAGCTGCTGCTGCAGGATGAAAGGAGGAGGAGAGCATTTGAATGACAGCGAGCATTTCCTTTTCGTTCCTACCCTACCCGCCTTTTCCTTTCAAACATTTGAACAGGTTGCCCTAAACAGAAGTTCTGGATCTTTTTGGTCGACCGCTCGAAATCGGTTTTTCTTAATAACCGGCGTTGAAACTCTGGGCAGCAGACTGGAACATATAGAACGTACGAGGGACATATTCTTGGGACACGCCTTTATAACTTCTAAAGTTCTTGACATTTGACCAATTCAGGAAAGGAAAGAAAGCCCGCAAACTTTGCACTCAAAGGGGACAGATCGCGGAGGTTGTGTCATATCACGGCACGGAAATCCGTTGAGCAAAGCAGTTATGCCATACTCAAGATCGAGTGGCCTCGTTATACTTTACTAATCATCTCAACAATAGCTGACGTTCCGGGCGTCCAAGGCAGGCAATAATGATCCACTTAATAACTTCATTAGAGAGAACAAACAGACCTGACACCCTTGATCAAGCAGGAGGTTCGACCCAAAATTAAAAATTCTAGACACGTCCTTCCCTCCTTCTCTGATGCTCACTCAAATTGCTGCCTTAGTGCGACACTTCAACCCATTATAAAACATGCAACCCTAGGGCAGTGCCAGCTAGCACGGTCAACAGTGCTCCAGGTGCCGAAGAGGCAGCAGCAGGAGCAGAGGATGCAGGCTCGTGGAGGGGGGGGTGTGGGGAGGGGGGGGACAGTTGATGGTCGTGCATTATGGGGCAGTGGGCACAAAAAACTTAGGGGGCTTGGGTCGGGCAGCCCGGGCAGTTGGATTCAGAAAAACGGGGGCAGTCGGGCCAGGGAAAACTGGGCCGATTGGGGGTGCAGAAAGGGGGGCGACTGGAGGGGCAGTTGGGGGAGCGGATGGAATAGAAGGGAAAGGAGTGGTAGAGAGGGGAGGAGCAGAGAGGGGCGGAGCAGAGAGGGGAGGAGCAGAGAGGGGGGGAGCAGAGAGGGGAGGAGCAGAGAGGGGTGGAGCGGAGAGGGGAGGGGCAGAGAGAGGGGAAGTGGAGAGGGGAGGAGCGGAGAGGGGAGGAGCAGAAAGGGGAGGGGCAGAGAGGGGAGGGGCAGAAATGGGAGGAGCAGAGAGCAGAGGAGCAGAAGCGGAAGCAGGAGCCACTGTGAAAAGAGTGGGCGGAGGGGCCAAGGGAGGAGCCGCAGATGAAGGAGGTGCGGGTGAAGAGTCTGCATGAGGGGGAGGCAGATGAGGAGGAAAGGGGGCATGTGGAGAGGAGGGGAGAGGAGAGGAGGGGAGGCTGGGAGTGACAGTCGCAGGGACAGGAGGAGAGGGTTCTGAGAGGGAGGGTGGCTGCATGGAGAAGGGGGGAATGGGAGTAAGGGCAGGGTGCACAGCAGCAGTGAAGGAGGAGGAGGAGGAGGAGGAGGAGGAGGAGTCAAGGGGAGTGGACACAGCAGGAACAGCTTGTGTGTCATGGGGAGAGGTGGTGGGGGGGGTGATGGTGGGAGGAGTGATGGTGGGAGGAGGAGTGATGGTGGGAGGAGTGATGGTGGGAGGAGTGAAGGTGGGAGGAGTGATGGTGGGGGGGTTGATGCCCGTGCCGTCATGGCCTGCGGTTCCATGGGGCTCTGAAACAGCAGCCTGATCAGGGCGCTGGGGCCACGGCTTAGGGTCGTTGGCAGGCGGGTGGGGAGGTGGTGCAGAGAGAAGAGCCGAGGAGGAGTGTGGAGGGTAGGATGGGTGGTAGGGGTCGGACGGGTCGGATGGGTGGGAGGAGAGGGAGGGGTGGGAGGAGTGCAGGGCTGAGCGGAGCAGGGAGAGGGCGGATGCAGCCCGGGAGGCGAGGAGGCGCAGGCGAAGGAGAGTGGCGGCGAGGGAAGTGAGGGAGGAGCGGGCGGAGAGAAGGAGATGGTCCGCGGAGGAGAGAGCTGCGCACATCTGGAGGGAGGAAGAGGGAGGCGGGTGGGGAACGACAAGCGAAGTGAATCAGAGAGAAAGTATGCGAGTGAGTCGCAAGAGGGATGTGATGAGGTGGCAGGGGACAGAGGCGTGAAGGTGGGGGACCGGGGAGGGAAGGAGGGGCGAGGATTGAGGGGGGAGGGGGGAAGGAGGGGGGCGGGGGTAAACAAGGATGATGGGAAGGGTGGTCCAGCAGTAAATGCTGGAGATGACATGGTGCGCCACGGCACGGCATGGCATGGCATGGCATGGCATGGCACAGCATGGCATGGCATGGCACAGCATGGCATGGCATGGCACGGCATGGCATGGCATGGCATGGCAAGCGGGAGCAAGGGCATGCCCTGGTGTCCCTCACCTGTGCTGTGAATCGGGTCCATGCATGGCCGGGCTCGGACAGCGACGAGCGGAAGTCATCTAGAGATGCCTGCAGTGGGGACGTGAGGCAGGGGACATGGGATGCAGTGAGGCAGGGAAAAGTAGGGAGAGGCAGGGAGAGGCAGGGAGAGGCAGGGAGATGCAGGGCAGGGGAATGGCGAGGCAGAAGCAGAAGAATGAGGATTGAGGAGGAGTGCGGCATAGGTGGCAGGAAGGGAGATTAAGCGAAACCGGGAGCTGCAGAGGGTGGGGAAGGGGATTTGTTTGCAGAGCTGCCGAATCTATAAGAGTTGGACATATCCCATGGCATGGCACTGCCAACTAGGCTGCGCCCTGTTGCCTGTGACTGGTGGATGCCCGCGGAAGTGACACATGCAGCAGCCGTGGACATGCACCAACCACAGTCGCCAGTGTAGCCTGAGCAACATTGCCATGGGATATGCCAACTCTTGCAGATCCAGCAGCAAACCGAAAAAAACCACTCCCGACCCCTTTGTAGCCGACGGTACCCCTTGCTCTCTCTCCCTGCCACATGTGCCACACTTCTCCTCCATCCCTGCCCCTCCGCGGTCGGATCCTGCTGAGCCAGCAAGGGAGGAAAAGAGTGTGTCGTGATAGTCTCTCACCCTCGCATGCGGGCTGCGAACGGCATGAGAGACCATTTGCCTGCCAGTCGACCAGCACTTGCCTGCCACTTGCCTGCCAGTTGACCAAGAGTTGGCCCACAGGTCACAACGCTCACTTCACTCACACAGGGGCCCAGCTTCAAGAACGCGGCCATGGTTCAATTGCACCAGTCACTAAGTGGTTTAGCGCATGAGCGGATAGGTGGTTGAGTGAGTGAGTGGGCGAGGTGGGTGAGTGAGTGAGTGGGTGAGTTAGTGAGTGAGTGCGTGGGTGTGTGAGTGAGAGGGTGAGAGAGTGAGCTCGTGGGTGAGTGAGGGGGTGAGAGAGTGAGCGAGTGTGTGAGTGAGTGGGTGAGTGAGTGCAGGAGTGGGTGCATGCTTGGAGGGGTAGATTTCTGGTCGGCGGCGGCACCAGTCACCTCGAAGGAGGAGAGCAGCATGTGGCGAGTGACGTGCGACGCACGAGCAGCCAGCGACGACAACGAGGATGGCAGGGCGGCGGACGAGGGGGAGGGGGAGAGGAGCGACGACGGCAACGATGACGGGTCGCATGGACCTGCAATGGGTGGGGAACGGGGGGAGGTGGAGCGGGGGAGTGGAGTGGGGGAGTGGAGCAGGGGAGTGGAGTGGGGGAGTGGAGCGGGGGAGTGGAGTGGGGGAGTGGAGTGGGGGAGTGGAGCGGGGGAGTGGAGTGGGGAGTGGAGCGGAGGAGTGGAGTGGGGGAGTGGAGCGGGGGAGTGGAATGGGGGAGTGGAGCGGGGGAGTGGAGCAGGGGGATGGAGCGGGGGAGCGGAGCGGGGGGAATCGGCGGGGGGAATGGAGCGGAGGGGATGGAGGAGGAGGAGGGGTAGAGGGGGCGGCAAGGGGCAAGGGGGAAGGGGGAAGGGGGAAGGGGAGCTAGCAAGTAGAGGTGAGCACTGAGTCGGCTTAACGTCACACCTGTAATGGCAGGGGTGGCGGAGCGGGGGAAGAGGATGGAGGGAGCAACTAGTCGGATGCGAGAGAGGGAGACGGCGTGGACCAGGGAAGAAGGGAGAGCGAGGGGGTGGGAGGAGAAGGGGTGGGGGCGAAAGGGGAAAGAGAATTCCGAAAGAGGAGGAAGCGATCGGTGACAGCAAGCGGCGTTATTTCCACGCCGAAACCTGCATTAGCCTCCAGTCGGCACACATACCGTCTCGCGCCCCCTCCGTCTCGCCTCCTTCCTCCTTACTCCCCGTGCCACTACTCCCCCCTCGCTGTTGCCTTCGTCGACGTCGTCGGCGTCGCAGAGCCCCCTCATCGCGTTCGCCACGTTCGCCGCGTTCGCGCGTCTCCTCCGCCGTGAGATCGCCCACCAGATCGCCGAATGTCACCAGCGGCCCTCGCGGCCCGGCCGCCGCCGATGCTGCCGGCCACATTGCTGCCGCGGATCGGGGAACGGGGAACTTGGCGGTGTTTTGTGCGTGAGTTGCGGAGCTTCGCGGAGCTTTGCGCGTGCGTTGCGCGTGCTGGTCAAGAATTCAGCAGGCCAAGGCGAACGATTCCTAAGGAACCGCACGAGAAAAATCGGCTAGATTCTCATATGCTACGCCATGTGCTAAGCCATGCGCTAAGCCATGCGCTAAGCCATGTGCTAAGACGTGTCCTCAACAGCACGCGACCCTGTGACACATGAAATTACGTGAGTCTCACACGGCGAACACGCGGCTATGGCATCCTGACTAGTAGGACTAATAGGGTCGACACAGCGAATTCCAAAATCTGGGAACTGTGACCCTAGCTGGGCATACCGCAGGGGAGCGAGAAAGAATGGTGCATGCAGGCGGATTATAGCGAGGACAAATCGAGGCGAGTGGAATTGGTGCAGGGTTCCGTTAGTGGTCCCCCGCGCTCGCTGTATGCAGTTCAGTGGCCAGTTAGCCCGTGCTCGCTTATGTTTGCCTGGTCATAGCTTTTCGGATTTGCTAAGTCTAATGTGTTAATGCCAAGCTGATTGCGTAGAATAGAAAGGTCAATTCGTACTTGTACCAAAAAAGGGATGGAAACGGAAAGACGGAGATTAGAACAAAACCAACGAGGTTCATAATCAGGTCTTAGGGAAAAGAATGGTAATTGAATGTGACATCATTAGCTAAAAATAACATGTTAGCTGAGGAGAAGATGCATTGCCTACCTCACCTAGCCATTTACTCTCCACTGCTTGCTCGGCTCGGCTCGGCACAGAACCAGTAAGTTTTTGCATTGCATTCCGAACACCGCAAGCAGACAAGAAGAAATGGCCCTTCCTCCCAATGCCCCTGAATCGACACTACCGTACTAGTAGTACATATGCTGCGTGTTCCCCCCTCCCAACGCCCCTGAATTTACTCCTGATGCTACCTGGTATGGATCGTACCCTGCCCCTCCACCCCCTACTCCAGGCAACCCCCCTGGTGCACTGCCCATTCCACCTGCCCCCATTCCTGGCCCCACCCCTCCCACACCCATGCCCCCTCCCATTCCCCCCATCCCCCCCATCGTCCCCCCATGGTCCCCATTCCCCCCATCCCCCCCATAGCCCCCATACCTGGCCCCATCCCCCCCATCCCTCCCATCCCCGGCCCCATCCCCCCCATCCCTGCCAGCGCCCCCATACCCGCCCCCATTCCCCCTGCCCCCATTGCCCCCATCCCATTCCCCATGCCCCCCATGCCCCCCATGCCCCCTGCAGCCATCCCCCCTCCCACGCCCATGCCCATGCCCATACCCATTCCTGCCATCCCCCCAGCTTGGGCGGCAGGGGGCATGAGGGCGCGCAGGCGTTGGTACGCCAGAAGATCCGCAGCAGAGGGGCCGCCAAACGCGCCCGCAGGGTTGGTGTAGGGCAGGGGGGCGGGGGGGGGTGGGGGGAGGCCGCCAGAGGAGGTGGAGGCGGAGGGGGGGGTGGGCTTGCTGCCCCAGGAGCACTGTGGGTGGGGAGAGGGGAGACATGGGGGAAGAGGAGGAAGGATGAGCTTCACAAATCACGACACTGTGGAGGGGGAGAGTGGGGACAAGTGTCACGTGGGCAAGTGGGCAAGTGCAGGTGGGGCGTGGATTGTTGGGTGGAAAGGTGAAGCACAGATTACTAGGGCATAATTAGCATGACAGAGTCTTAAGATGGACCTCCCAACCCCTCCTAACCCCCATCATCCCCTGACGCACCCATCATCCCCTGATGCACCCATCATCCCCTGACGCACCCATCATCCCCTGACGCACCCATCATCCCCTGACGCACCCATCATCCCCTGACGCACCCATCATCCCCTGACGCACCCTCCCCTCTCCACCCTCCCCTCTCCACCCTCCCCTCTCCACCTCCCTTTCAGAACCACTTCAAACGCCAGCCAGCCCAGCAACTCTCACCTTGACAGACTTCCCGCAGATGACGCGGCCGTTGGCAGCCTGGATGGCCGCACAGCCTCCCAACCCCTGCTCTCCCCCCCTCCCTTGACAGCTTCCCCCCCCCAGCTGCGGCCAGCCCACCAACCCCCCCTTCCCCAACACACCTTGACGGACTTCCCGCAGATGACGCGCCCGTTGGCGGCCTGGATGGCCGCCGCGGCCTCCTCGTGCGAGCGGTAGCGCACAAAGCCAAAGCCCTTGTCCCGCTGCACGCGCACCTCCTCGATTATGCCCACGCCCAGCGCGTAGAACTGCCGGTGCAGCTCCGTCTGGGTCACCTGGAAAAGGGATGTTGGGGGAAAGGAAGTAGAGTGAGGAGCGTTAGTGAACTAATTCAGGGTAGCACTGCATGCGCACCTCCTCGATGATGCCCACGCCCAGCGCGTAAAACTGCCGGTGCAGCTCCGTCTGCGACACCTGGATGGAGAATGTGGGGAGAAGAGGAGAGGAGAGGAGAGGAGAGGAGAGGAGAGGAGAGGAGAGGAGAAGAGAGGAGAGGAGAGGAGAGGAGAGGCGAGGAGAGGAGAGGAGAGGAGGAGAGGAGAGGAGAGAGAAAGGAGAATTGTAAGTCGACTCAGGTGCAGCTCCGTCTGCGACACCTGGAGAAAAGGAGAGGGGCGAGAGGGGAGCATTTTAGGTCAACTGAGGAGACCGGACCGCTGCACGCGCATGTCCGGTCGACAATGCCCACGCCCATCGCGTAAAGCTGCCGGTGCAGCTCCGTCTGCGACACCTGGAGGAGAACACACAGGGGAGGAAGGGAGGAGTATTCTGAGTCGACTCAGGACACTGCTGCACGCGCGCTCTAGTATGCCCGCGCCCAGCACATGCAAAAGCCGGTGCAGCTCCGTCTGAGTCCCCTGGAGGGAGGATGGGGGTGGGAAGGGGGGGATTAAGGCAGGAACGGAGGAGAGAGGGGGGAGGGAGGAGAGTGAGGAGAGACCAAGACACGAAACTGAGGAGGAGCAAATACAGCCATTCTGATCGAGGGGTTCTGCACTAAGCAAGCGCAGCAGACCACAGCGCATGCAGAGAACAAACTTTGAGACGTCCCAACACTCATTGTGCGCCAAGCAAGCGCAGCCTACCACAGCGCATGCAGAGAACAAACTTTGAGACGTCTCAACACTCATTGTGCGCCAAGCAAGCGCAGCAGACCCCAGCATGCAGAGAACAACTCGCGGCTGCTGCCAAAGAGCCTACCTCTGAAGCCAGGTTGCCCACGTAGACTGTCGTAAACTGCGCACTGCTCGTGGTACCAGGGCCACCAGCAGCAGCAGCAGCAACCGCACCACCACCAGCAGCACCACCAGTCGCAGCAGCACTGCCAGGCGCCCCTGCTGCAGGCGCGCTGCTGCTCTGTGCAGCCGCTGCCCCGGCTGCTGCCAATTCCGCGTCATTGCCTGCCACGTGGAAGGGAAGAGCAGGGGTAACAGGTTGAAAGACCCCCAGCTAGTCACGTGCAGGTAGAGCTTTTTGAGGCGCCTAAAAAGCGGAGTCGTTCTGAGGCGCCTCAGAAACAGACTCCTCATGCGGAAGGGAAACGCAGGGGTAACAGGTTGAACGGCCCAGCTCGTCACAGGCAGGTTAAGGGGCACTAGAGTGGCAGGAGGGTGGTGGCGGGGAGGTGTCCGGGAGGTAGGGTATCCGGGAGGTAGGGTGTCCGGGAGGTAGGCTAGGTAGGGCCCAGGCCTAAGCCTGAGCCTCAGACTGAGACTGTGTGCAAATCTAAGCCTGAGCCTGAGCCTAGATACATGGAAATAGCAGCCCCCCACCTGCTTAGCGCAACCGCACTGACACGTAAGGACGGGATACAGGCCGTGCCGTGCTTAACGGCAACGCAACGCGGCACAACACACAAGGGTAGCGTTTACGACCGCGGATGGTGTTGTTAGCATTGTATAATGCACTTTCACCTCCTTCAAAGAAGAAGAAGAAAACACGCACACACACACAAACACACACACACACACACACACACACACACACACAAGGACAGGGGCAGCCCCGCTCTCACCTTTAGGCTCGTGCTTGACCGACCCGTTGGCCCCTCCACCTGCACCATCCCCCCCCCCTGACTGGAGCACCGCTTGTTGCGCTGCCTGCTGTTGTTGCACCGGCGGTGGCAGCACCTGCACCTGCTGCTGCTGCGGCTGCTGTTGCGCCTGATGCGGCACCTGCACCTGCACCTGTTGCTGCTGGTGCTGCTGCTGGTGCTGCTGCTGCTGCTTGGACGCGTCGTCTAGCGCCTGGTTCTTGGTGGCCCAGTTGCAGCGGATGGGCCGCGTGCCCACCCACTTGCCTGTCATCTCCGATATGGCTGCCTCTGCGTCCTGAATACAGGCACATTACGAAAAGAGGTCGAATGCAAGGGAACTTAGGGAAGCCCCAGGTCGATCAGGGCATAAACAACTTCGGATAAACAGCTTTGGATTCAGGCGGCTTGGATGCATAAAGTCGTAGCATGCAGGGAAGAGGGTCTCACAATGGGCCCGCTTGACAGAAGCCTTTTGTGTTAACACAATGGATAAAGAACAGGCACCTTCAAAGCACAGGAGGACGCGGCTTAGTAGAGCACCTCCAAGGAAGATAAGGGAGCACATACGCAGGATGCGGCAGCTTGAGAAAGTGCGTGCAACCAAGGCCAGAGTGCAAAGGTTAGGGGCAGGCCGCAGGGAGGGGCGGGATCGAGGTGGAGGTGGCGAGCGCAGTGTGTGGGCATGGAGGGGTCTAGTTACCAAGCGCTTTTTAGAATTCTCAAAAACACCCTGCAAAATTATGGAGGGGTCTAGTCAGCAGGTGGGATGAAAGTCCTCAGAACTCAGCAGATGAGGCGACGCCTCAAAACTAGGAAGAAGGGGAGGAGGAGGAAGGGGAAGAGGGGGAAGGGGGGAAAGGGGGGGAAGGGGGGGAAGAGGCAAGCGCAGCGTGGGGATGGAGGGGCGTGGTTACCAGTTGGCTACGGAAGGAGACGAAACCGTAGCCCCTCGAGCGGCCTGTGCGATGGTCCCACATCACCCGCGCGTCACTGGGGGAGGAGAGTGGGGGGGAGCGGGGGAGGGGGGGGGGGGAGCAATGGGCGGAGTGGGGGAGGACGGCGAAGGGCAGGGGGGGAGGTTGGGAACAACGCGACAGGAAGTTGGAATGGAAAAGGCGGGTGGGAGCACGCTGCACGGGAAAGGGAGAGCGGAGGAGCGCGGGGAGACGAGGGGCACGGGGAAAAGGGTGAGGAGGGAAGGGGAAAGGAGGGACGGGGGAGGAGGAAAGGGGGAGGAGGAAAGGGGGAGGAGGAAAGGGAGGAGGAAAGGGGGAGGAGGAAAGGGGGAGGAGGAAAGGGGGAGGAGGAAAGGGGGAGGAGGAAAGCGGGAGGAGGAAAGGGCGAGGAGGAAAGGGCGAGGAGGAAAGGGGGAAGGAGGGACGCGGGAGGAGGAAAGGGGGAGGAGGGAAGGGCGAAGAGGGAAGAGTGAGGAGCGGGGCGGATGGAAAGTGTGAGGAGAGCGGCGGGTGGGAAGTGTGAGGGGCGGGCATACGAGCAGCTGGGGAAGGTGCTGAAGGCGGCAAAGAGCGAGGCGTCTGTGACCTCGGGACCCAGGTCGCCCACAAAGATGTTCACATGCGCTGGGGGTGGGGGGGGGGGGGAGGGGGAGCGGAGGGGAGGAGAGGGGAGGAGAGGGAAGGGGAGGAGAGGGAAGGGAGGGGAGCGGAGGGGATGGGAGGGGAGGGGAGCAGAGGTGGGTGGGAAAAGGAGGACACGGGGGGGAGCGAGAAGGGGGGTTGGAATGAGAAGGGGGGAGAACGAGAGAGAGGGGAAGTGAGTGAGGGGGGGAGAGAGGGGGATGTTGCCAAGGGTGTGGCCGACCCTGACCGAACCAACAGCTGACTACCCCCGAGGGACAGACAGAAGCAATAGCTGAGTGCCCCCACACCGCAGGATACAGGCAAACAGCAGCATGAGTGTGCGTATGTACCTGAGGTGTCCTCCCTGTTGGTGCTGGCGTACGCCCAGTTCACCTTAATGGGCTGCCCGAACCTGGTGCAGAGTCAGGGCACAGAGGAAAGGTCGGAGAAGAAGACAGGACAGTGAGCAAAGAAGCCATGGACCCAGCCAGTTCGTTCTATCACCTTGACTGATAGGCTGCTGCCCGAACCTGGTGCAGAAACAGGGCATAGAACGCACGCATGCACACAGAGAATGCGCACGAGGGATGACCGGAGCGGAACGGAGGCTACTTTGGAGGCGCGTAAAGAAATAGACGCATGCATGCATGCGCGCGGGGGATGGGCGTGATGGGAAGGAAGGAAGGACAACGAGCGCAAGACATGCCCTCGAGATCACCATCCCCCAGTCTGCCCATCCCCGACGCACTTTGTCAAAGCTGCCATGCCATGCCATGGACCAGGGCCGCAATGTGCCAGCTGGTTCCTCGGATCAGCCCCCCAACTCCTCCCGCCTAAAACCCTGAACCTTCGAGTCCCTTGGGGCAAATAATCGATTCAAGCCCCCCCTCTAAGAGCAGCAGCGGAGCTTACAGGAGGCGGCCGTTGAGCGTGAGCAGCGCTGCCTGCGCCGATCGATGGTCGTAGAAGTCCACAAACCCGTACGACGACTGGCGCATGGCCGCATGGGCGGTGATGAGGTGGCACGAGAGACACGTGACCATGACACAGTGGCCACGTTGGGGCAGAGCGGGGCCGGGGGGGGGAGGAAGGGAGGCGGGGAAAGCGGGTGGAGAGAGCAAAGATGGACAGGGAATATGGAAGACGGACGGGTGAGTAGTGAGTAGACGACGTGGGAGCGAGAGAAAGCGGGAAAACATCAGAGGAGGCCAGAGAAGCGCACACTAGTAAAACCCTAACATGACGTTGACAAGGTCCTTCAGCTCGCAGGGACACCAGCGGTGGAGCAGCAGGGATCAGTAACAGCAGCAGGCATCATCATCATCATCATCATCATCATCATCATCATCATCATCATCATCATCATCATCATCATCATCATCATCATCATCATCATCATCATCATCATCATCATCATCATCATCATCATCATCATCATCATCATCATCATCATCATCATCAGCAGCAGCAGCAGGCATCATCATCAACAGGCAGCAGCATCGGCGGGCATCAGCATCAGCCGGCTCGCTCACCTTATCTTTCCAAATGAGCTCGAGCGGGGCGAGCGAGGAGAAGATGACGATATCCCCGAGCACGTGCTCCGAGACCTTGGTGTGCACGTGTGACAATAATCCAATTTTGAGACGTCAAGTCTCACAACAACCCACCTTATCTTTCCGGATGAGCTTGCACCCCTCGAGCGGGCCGAGCGCGGAGAAGATATCGCCGAGCATGTGCTCCGTCACCTTGGTGTGCACGTTGCCCACGTACCTGCGCGCACGCACAGCACCGCACAGCACAGCACGCACAACCAGCCAGCCACGCAAACAACGCAGCATACAGCATGCAGCACGCAGCACGCAGCACGCAACCCGCAGCACGGAGCACGGAGCACGCAGCACGCAGCACGCAGCACGCACCACGCACCACGCACCACGCACCACGCAGCACGCAGCACGCAACACACAGCACGCACCACGCAGCACGCAGCACGCAGCACGCAGCACACAGCACATAGGATCAGAGATGCTGGGTATCAAGGAACCAACGTACCAGAGGGTCTGTCAAAGACCAAGATCAAGGGTACCGGGCTGGGGGGGCATTAAAAGTAAAGGCCGAGCCGCCCCGCAGACCAGCTAGTAGCAGCTTTAAGAGGCTAATAGTAGCCTCCTAAACACAGAACGACCGAATTAACAAGTTTTGCACGATGGCGAATCGTGGCGGAAATTGTCCGTATGACTGCAAAGAAACTCACACGCTGCGACAAGAAGCCGGATCAAACCCGGGCGGAAGACTACCACTCTGAACAGAGTCAAGCTGCCCAAAAAAAAAGAAGAAAATAAAAATAAAACCTCAATTAAAAGAGCTGCACTATAAGAAAACGAGAGCGAGCTGCTAGTGCTCGATTTCGGGGGGACAAAAAAAGTGGGGAGGCTGTAAAATTTTAACGATAAACAAGATACTAAGATTAGAATGCAGACGTCGGCTAATCATAAAGGCTAGAACCAATAACGCAAAGATGGACGAGTAGTTGTGTCGTCACGATCTTTCCCTACCGATACTCCAGCAATTACAGGCTAGATGCTACCTAAACGTCTGCGAGAGCACTAAATACGATTCTTAAAGCAAAAAAAAGAGAGGAAAATTATCAAATATCGACCAAAACCCCAGCCGATACTCTGATCAGCACATAACTGAAGAATCTCCTCGGCACTTAAAAAGAATTAACAAGGCACCCACCTGGTATATATACCATCGGACCAGACAGAGCTCGATTAATCGGTGATTCGTGCGAAAGCCTGCGTTCTGCGGGGTTAAAAAATATGAACAAGATCGGGCCTTACCGGGGTCATGTTCGCTGCTGACATGAGGCCTGGGTGAAACATGCCGGGCTGCTGCTGCTGCTGTTGCTGATGCGGATGCTGTTGCTGATGCTGTTGCAGCGTTAACGCCTGCTGCTGTGCTACTAGTGCCTGCTGACTGCCGTATTGCGCTCCGTATCCGTGGTGTTGCACCGACTGACTAGCGTCTTGCATCCCTCCCTACTCTCGTCTTAATCTTGTGAAATGATGCTCTCTCGCGTACGCGACATCGGCGGACTCGTTTGACGACTCGTAAACCTCAGAGAATAAAATCTTGCGATGCTGAGATCTGGATCGCGTAAGGCGTCTTGATGAAAAGGCAGAGAAGGAAAGAGTTGAGATCCAGCAGAAAGGGGTAAATCCTCCGCGACGAGTCTACTTACTTGTCAAAGCTTGACGCCAGCATCCTGACTTTCACAAGAGTGGGGAGGGGATTTTAGCAGCAGGCAAGGGAAGAACGAGCAAACACGCAGAAGGGTGCTTGGGAGGAGGGAAACTCTCAGGGAATGGGGTAGGGATCAGGTCGTGCAGGCAAAGCGCGAGGGGGGAGAGGCACGGGGCTGGGTCGAGTCGAGTGCGACAGGGAGGAACAAGGCGCGGAGGGAGGGAAACGAGGAGTATGCTGTGGGGGAGGGGTTGCACAGGGTGAACAGTACAGTACACTGCTGGACTGCCTAAGCAAAAATAATTTTCTTTGTGGTGTAGCATCGCTGGAGGGGCGTGGAGCAGCGCATCTCCCTTCCGCGGCGGAGTGTGTGGGGCGGTGAGGGGAGCCCAGATCTTTCCATTTGAATGGTGAAAGCTGACGGCTGGTCTGGGGGACGGCTCGACTCCACGCGGCGGTACAAGAGGCACGTTTCAGGGGAAATGTTATGAAATAGGAAGTGTCAATGTACTATATCGTGAGAATACAAGGTCGCTACTGCAATGAGGGCACGAGGTTATATAGGAGTTGGCGTACTAGGGCGATCACCTCGGAACGTGGTTAGGTTCGGCAATGTGGCGACAGTGCCGGACGCGACCCGGGAAAGGGTTGGGCCGATAATTGAGGCCGAACATGACGAATCGAGGAAGTCGGGTGTACGCGCTAGCGTACGACTCAGTAAGGAATGGAATTCCTTACACTACCCCCCCCCCTCCTAAACGAGACTGCGGGCATCGGAAACATTCCGACGCTGATACCGTATTTCCCCGTATAAAGCACCCTAGGGTGGTAACCAAAATGCCTCTAAATTTTGAGGGGGTTGTAATTAGTGGCTAATTTTGTATAACGCCTGGGTCTTGTGGAACATGCGTATGTGATATTGTATTTCCTAAACAAAATGCACTGTCGTACTCTGCTGTATTTTGTTTTTCCCCTCGATATCGCGTACGGAAGTGGTGAAACACCAATCAGCCAATCCGTAGGAGGCATGGCACACTTTTCTTGGCGGGAAGGCGAGTGCTATCAAAGTGGGAACTGAATGATAAGTAGAGAGAGAGTACAGGTGAATATACCTAAGTGTTGTACCCTCTAAGAAATGGCCCTATATAGTCTATGCAAACATAGGAGATAAACATGTTTGACACACCCCCTAGACGGCATAGGGGCAGGTCCTGAACAAGCAGCTCAGGGCGGCACTACTAGTCCAGCCTCTGAGGCAAGGGTCTGAAAGACCAGTCAGAAGGAGTACAGACAAGGCAAGAACAAGACCAGGGCGGCACTACTAGTCCAACCACTGCGAGAGGACACAAGTCCAGTCTGAGCACACATATAAAGGACAGTACAAAGTCAAGGCCCTAACAAGTGAGAGGCTACAGGAACTAGACCAAGCTGTACACAGTGCCGCTGATGATCTTTAAGCGCAAGCGCCTTCGTAAAGATATCAGCTGTGTTGGCACCTGAGGCAAAGTGTACTACGCGAGCCTGGCGTCGCTGCTGTAGCTCGCGCAGGAAGAAGTACCGCAGCTGAATATGCTTCGCTCTGCCCCCGAGTCGCGGCTCCTGACACAGGAGGATCATGGCCCTGTTGTCAGCGAACAGGACTGGGGCAGAGCTAGGCCGCTCACCTAAGTCAGTGAGCAAGAAGGTCAGCCAGCGGAGCTCCTGTGCCGCCATGGCACCAGCGTAGATCTCGGCCTCACAGCTGGACTGAGCAACAGACGAGGAGCGGGTGGCTCTCCACGAGACGGCACCTGAGCCAAGGCTGAAGCAGTAGCCCTGGGTAGACCTGAGTGTCTCGGCGTCGTCTGCCCAAGAAGCGTCTGTGTGTCCACTAAGGACCACTGGCCCACGTCCTCCTAGCACTAACCCCATGCCAGATGTACTAGCAAGATAACGCAAAACCCTCTTAGCGACAGACCAGTGCTGCGGTCGGTGTCTGCCAGTGGCCACAAAGCGAGCCAGGATGCTGAGAGGGTATGCGAGATCTGGACGAGTGCAAGTCATCAGGTACATGAGGCAACCCACCAGCTCAGCGTAGGGGCCACTGGGCTCTACCGACTCCTCAGGAACTGGAGCGGAGAGTCTGTGGTCTACAGGCAGAGGGGTGGGCTGTGCAGAGGAGAACTGAAGGCCGAACCTCTGAAGGACCTGGCGCACCAAGTGTGACTGAGTCAGGGTGATGGTGCGCGCTGCTTCGTCCCGGGAGATCTGCAGGCCAAGGTAACGACGCAGCTCTCCAAGGTCAGTGCACGTGTGTCTCTTCAGCAGCTCCGCCTTCACGGCGGCCAGTGCGTCCCTGTCTGCTGTGGCAAAGACCAGGTCGTCGACGTAAACAAGGATGTAGAACGGAGTCTGGCCAGCACGAACGAAGAGTGGGGGGTCTGCAGAAGACGGAAAGAACTGCAGGTCAGCAAGGGTAGCACGCAGCATGTCGTGCCACTCATGGGGAGCCTGGCGCAGGCCGTAGACAGGACGCCGCAGGAGCCACTGGGTCCCAGGAGGGAAGGTGCCAGTAAAGCCCTGACGGCGACGCAGGTAGACCTGCTCGTGTAGGCTGCCCTGAAGGAAGGCAGTGGAGAAGTCGAGGGAGTGAAGCTCCTAGTCACACTGAGCAGCTACATGTAACAAAACCCAAAGAGTAGTCATCTTCGGGGTCGGAGCGAAGGTCTGGAAGAAGTCCACCCCCTCACGCTGACTGAAGCCTCTAGCCACGTAGCGCGCCTTGAACACAGGCGGCTCTCCAGGAGGGCGCTTCATCTTGAAGAGCCAGCGGCCATCGACTACGTTCACCCCAGGCGGGGGAACTGCGTCGACGAAGGTGCCGGTGGATCTCCAAAATGCCAACTCCTGCTCCATGGCAGCTATCTACTGCGAGGCCCAAGGTCCCGAGGTCGCCTCAGCGTAAGTGCGAGGGGTCGGGATGTCAAAAGCGTCTGGGTCACCCTCAGGGACTAGCAGCATGGAACAGAGATGGGGAGCAGCCTCGGACAGGAAAGCAAGCTCGAACTGGCAGTCCTCCAGGACGTCATTGCCAAGGGCAGGAGCACCCCCGACAGACGGAGGATAGGCAGGGTCAGAGACCAGAGCGGTGGCGTAGTCAAGGCGGCGGGTAGAGGCGAAGTCAGCGACCGCAGCGACAAGAGCGTCAAGACACGAGACCGGAACAGACGGGTCGGTAACGAGAGAGGCGAGGACCCGAGGAACAAGAGGACGAGCGGCATGAAGGTAGTCGGACAGAGGAGGAGGTGCAACGGTAAGAGAGGACGGAGGATGTGACGGTAGAAGGGGAGGACGAGACGCGTGAGAACGGAGCAACATAGGATGAGAGCGCGGGACAGGGGAGACAGGACGAGCGCGGGAGGGACGGCGGGACCAGACGTGAGACGGAGGCGTCGAGTCAGGAGACAGAGGAGGGGACACAGGTGGGGAACGAGGGGGAAAACGAGCCGGGGACGAGTCCGGCGGAGGGAACACAGGGCCGTAGACGGGAAGAGGAGGAGACGGCCGGGGGGGAGCAGACGCAGGGTCAGGGGACGGAAGGCCGAGCAGGCGAAGGGCGGACACCAGCGGGGACTGCTGCTGCGGCGGCACCACGCCGACACCGGGACCGCAAGCTGCTCCTCGGCTACCACCGGCACCCTCCACGCCAGCACCCCCAGAGGGAACACCCCAAGGGCCCGAAACCTGCCGAGGACCGGTACCACCACCAGGGCTACCGAGACGAGTATGCACTCCAACGCCAGCAACCCCAGAGGCAACGAACGGGTGCTGCGACGGCGGCGGCGGCGGCAGCGACAACGACTGCTGCGGCGGCGATGACTGAGGGGACAGCGGCTGCGACAGCAGGGGCGACGGCGGCAGCAGAGACGGTGAAGGAGGGGACACCTGGGGAGGGGCAGCCGACGGAAGAGGGGTGACGTGGGACACACCAGAGGGGGCAGGACGGGGAGGGGCAGGGACTACCGGGGAAGGAGTAACCAGGAACAAGGGGGGAGTAACCGGGGGACCGCGGTGAGGGAAGCGACAGTAGAAGGAGACGGACTCGTCAAATGTGACGTCACGAGAGTGAAAGTAGCGGTGAGACGGCGGGTGGTAGAAGTGCCAGTCGGACGCGTCAAGGGGAAAACCGAGGAAGACGCAGGGAAGGGTGCGGGCAGTGAGCTTGTTCGTGCCGGAGGCACGGACGTGAGCAAGGCAGCCCCAGACGTGGAACGCAGACGCGTCACCAGGCGACCCAGTCCAAAGACGGGTCGGCGAAACCTGCGGCTGCTGGGGGTGCGGCCACATGTTAAGCTGGTGAGAAGTGTAGCGCACAGCGAACGGCCACAGAAAATGGGGTGCACCGGCATGGATCATGGAGGTGGGAGCCACCTCCATAACCAAGCCGATGCGGCGCTCAGCGACCCCATTCTGCTGTGGGGAGTCTGGGAGGGTGAACGTCTGGGTGATGCCCTCCGCACGACAAAAGCGACCAAGAACACCTGAGGCAAACTCGCCACCATGGTCGGAGTGAAGACGCAAGACCGGGAGACCCCGGTGGACACGCGCAGAGACAAGCCAGGGGATGAGAGCGTCAGGCACGTCGGCCTTCCGCTCCAGGGGAAAGACCGAGGTGTAGCGAGTGAAGTCGTCGACAAGCACAAGGAAGTAGCGCTCTCGACGCGGCCCATGGACGGGGGCGGGGCCCCAGATGTCCATGTGCAGGGTCTGCAGCGGTGCGGCGGTAGGGGGAAACGAGGAGGAGTGAGGGGCACGGCGAAGCCGACCCTCGACGCAAGGCATGCAAGGTGGGGCTGGGGAGGAGGGAAAAGCGGGGAGAGAACCAGGGAGACCAAGGACGAGACCGTGCTGGGACATGTGACGCAAACGCGGGAGCGCAGGGTGACCTAGGCGGTGGTGCCAAAGGAGAGTCGGGTGAGTGAGGGAGCGACAGGAGCAGGCAGCAGCAACCTGGGTAGACGCAGCCACCTGAGGGGGCACCCCAGCCGGGGGGGTCACGGTGTCCAGAGTGAACAGGCCGGACACCGGGTCCCGGGGGAACGTGGACAAG